TAGTCAATTATATAATTTTCAAATTTTCGAAATGCAAAAATTAATATATTTTTTATAGTTTCAATTTTCAACTAAACAAGTCCTATTTAATAGATTTTATAGGTACTTCATACATGCTTTTGGAATTTGCAACAAAATAACAAGTTTCAAGATCATAATTACATAATATAGATAGCATCGTGGCTTAAATCTTACTTAACCATTTAGATAAAGTCATTTTTAACTTTTGTACAGATAAAATCTTTTAAAAACTTGAAATTAAAGTCAAATGATTTTTTTTTTAAGAAGACAAAAAAATTTAATAAGCTAAAGTCAACTAAGGCCCGGTTTGACCCACATTAATTTTTTCATTCACATTCCTCTACTCATTTTCAACCACACATTCTTCAATTAAATAATATTTTTCATCGCATCAATAATTTTTCCTTCTTTTTCAACCACACATTCTCCATCAATCTCCTATTTCAAAATACATTTTTCCAAAATGATGTGGCTNTATTTTTTTTCGTTCTCATTCTTTTACTCATTTTTAACCACACATTTTTCAATAAAATAATATTTTTCATCACATCAATAATTTTTCCTTCTTTTTCAACCACATATTTCCCATCACATCAACAGTAAAAATGCATTCTTTTTCCAAAAATGTGCACCAAACGGGGGCTAAAAGACTTTTTAAGAAAAGGAAAAAAAAAAACTAATAAAGCGCGTCTACGGAAGACGAAAGAGAAGAAGGAAAAAATGCAATTGTTTAGGAATTGGAAAAAAAAGCATCTATGCGCGAAGCGAGACGTTTTGCCCGAACTTCTAGCGCTTAGGCGAGCTTTTTAGAACACTGGACAATATAGACGGGTGACTAACACCACTATAGCTAAATAGTATGTGCCCCCTAGATACATGCCTAGCCTGCAAACCAAGCACCTACAGTAATTGACTGCAAAATTATGTATTGGCATTCACTTCCCGGCCCCCTCCCTCTTTTTTAAAGATGATAAGTATGTATTGACACTTATTGTGATCAACAAAATCAAGTCATTAGTGATTCTCAATTGCTACGTGTTTG